TTTTTTTTGGATTTTTTTGGCATTTTTTGGGGATTTTTTGGGCATTTTTTAGGGTTTTTTCGGGGTATTTTATGGGTTATGGGCATTGGGAATGACTGGAACTGGATCGGGGATGGACTGGAATGGATTCAGAGTAACTGGAATGGATTAGAAATGCATTGGGAGTCACTGGGAGTGATTGGAACTGGATTAGAAATGGATTGGACTGGACTGGGAGTGACCGGAACTGGATTAGGAATGGACTGGAATGGACTGTGCTGAATGGGGCCGGCAGTGCCGGGTTCAGGAATTGAGAAACAAGGAGCCCGTTTCGGTGGCCGCGGCGTCGAAATTGCTAGCCAACCTTGTGTATCAGTACAAGGGGGCGGGGCTAAGCCTGGGAACCATGGTGTGCGGCTGGGACAAGCGAGGACCAGGTATTTGCATCATTTTTTGGGGGTTTTTGGGTGGTTTTCTATTTTTTTTATAATTTTTTTGGATTTTTTGGGGTGTATTTTGGGTGTATTTTGGTTTTTTCTGGCATTTTTTAGGATTTTTTTGGCATTTATTGGGCATTATTTTGGGATTTTTTTTGGATTTTTTAGGTATTTTTTTGGAATTTTTTTTGGTATTTTTTGGGTGTATTTTGGGATTTTTTAGGATTTTTTTGGGTATTTTTTAGGATTTTTTTGGGTGTATTTTGCATTTTTTTGGGATTTTTTTGGCATTTTTTGGGTGTATTTTGGGTTATGGGTATTTGGAATGACCGGAACTGGATTAGGAATGGATCCGGAATGGATTGGGAATGGATCGGGAATGGATCGATAATAGTGAGTGACTGGAACTGGATTAGAAATGGTTTGGGATTCACTGGGAATGACCGGAACTGGATTAGAAATGGATTGGGAATGGACTGGGAATGGACTGGGAATGGACTGGGAGTGACCGGAACTGGATCAGGCTGCACTGGACTGGACTGTGCCGGCAGTGCCGGGTCCAGGAATTGAGGAACAAGGAACCCGTTTCAGTAGCCGCGGCGTCGAAATTGCTAGCCAACCTGGTTTATCAATATAAAGGGGCGGGGCTAAGCCTGGGAACCATGGTGTGCGGATGGGACAAGCGAGGACCAGGTACTGGGATAAACTGGGATGGACTGGGAGGTGGTTTGGGGTGATTTCCTAATTTTTTTGTAATTTTTTTGTAATTTTTTTGGAAATTTTTGGGTGTTTCTTGGGTGTATTTTGATTTTTTTTGGTATTTTTTAGGATTTTTTTGGCATTTTTTAGGATTTTTTTGGGAATTTTTTGGGTAATTTTTGGGTGTATTTTTGTATCTTTTTAGGATTTTTTTACGATTTTTTGGGTATTTTATGGGTGTATTTTGGGTGTATTTTTGGTTTTTTAGGGATTTTTTGGGATTTTTTAGGATTTTTTTGGCATTTTTTGGGTGTATTTTGGGTGTATTTTGAGCTTATGGGCATTTGGAATGACTGGAACTGGATTAGAAATGGATCGGGAATGGATCGATAATAGTGAGTGACTGGAACTGGATCAGAAATGGATTAGGAATGGATTTGGAGCCATTTTTGGAATTTTTTGGGATTTTTTTGGCATTTTTTGGGTGTATTTTGGGGTATTTGGAGTTTAAGGCGACTGGGAATGACTGGAACTGGATTCAGAATGGATCGGGAATGGATTCAGACTGACTGGGATGGAGTGGGAGTGACCGGAACTGGATTAGAAATGGATTGGGAGTCATTGGGAATGACTGGAACTGGATTGGGAATGGATTGGACTGGATTCAGAGTGACCGGAACTGGATCAGGCTGCACTGGACTGGACTGGGAGTGACCGGAACTGGATCAGGCTGCACTGGACTGGACTGGGAGTGACCGGAACNACTGGACTGGACTGGGAGTGACCGGAACTGGATCAGGATGGACTGGACTGGACTGGGAGTGACCGGAACTGGATCAGACTGGACTGGGAATGGATTCAGAGTGACTGGAACTGGATCAGACTGCACTGGACTGGACTGGGAGTGACCGGAACTGGATCAGGACCAGACTGGAATCCCAATCTCACTAGCCACACCCGTAAATTCACTAGCCACACGCCTAGTTTTGGTAGCCACGCCCTCAAAATCGTTAGCCACCTCCCCACTCACTAGCCACGCCCCTAAATCCACTCGCCAGCCCCCCAATCCCGGTAGCCACGCCCCTAATCTCACTAGCCACACCTCCAATCCCACTAGCCACGCCCCGAATCTGACTGGCCACACCCCTAAATTCACTCGCCACCCCTCTAAATCCACTAGCCACGCCCCCAATCTTACTAGCCACACCCCTAAATTTGGTAGTCACACCCGTAAATTCGGTAGCCACACCCCCAAACTCACTTTTTATGCCCTAATTTCACTTGCCAACCCCCTAAACTTGGTAGCCACACCCTCAAAATCGTTAGCCACGCCCATAAACTAACTAGCCACACCTCTAAATTTGGTAGCCACGCCCCCAATCTCACTAGCCACGTCCCCAATCTCACTAGCCACGCCCCCAATCCCACTAGCCACACCTCTAAACTTGGTAGCCACGCCCGAATCTCACTAGCCACACCCCCGAATTCACTAGCCACAGCCCCAAATCCACTCACTGTGCCCTAAAATCGGTAGCCATACCCCCTAAATTTGGTAGCCACACCTCTAAACTTGGTAGCCACACCCCTAAATCCACTAGCCACGCTCCCAAATTCACTCGCCATGCCCCCAGTCTCACTAGCCACGCCCCTAAATTTGGTAGCCACGCCCCCAATCCTACTAGCCACACCTCTAAATTTGGTAGCCACGCCCCCAATCTCACTAGCCACACCCCCAATCTCACTAGCCACACCCCTAATTTTGGTAGCCACACCCCCAATCTTACTAGCCACACCCCAATCTCACTAGGCACACCCATAAAT